TCAATCCTTGTTACTCAAGCTGTAAGCACAAGTCCCCTCTGTCCTTTCTGTTATCTTCCTTCTGATGGCTTTTGTCTGTTTTCTTCTGCATTCTGGGAGAATCCCTCAAGTTTGCCTCCACATCATTGATCTACTTTCTCAGCATCAATCCTGCCCTTTGCTGTGCACTTTATGATGATGATTTTAGTTTCCTCATCTAGGTTCTTTTATAGTTTCATTGTGTTTCCTTTCACTTTGGCCTATTGCCTACTTAGGGCTTTTTAATTTTTAGTCAAAGGTGCAATTTACTGCATTTTCCTAAACATGTGAATTTTTCTTCCCTAAAATATTTTTTTGATCCTACACTTCATTTCTAAAATCATGTTTACCCTTAGAATCTCCAGGATATTACTTCTTCTTTTCTGCAGCATTTCCCCACAAGCTTCACTCAAGCAAAGCACACTCTGCTCAGCCTTGGCATGTCAGCTGATGGAAGGCAGTTACCTCGCCTGGGTGGTGCCCGACGCCAAACTCAGCTATTGCCTGGGCTGGTCATTGCACCCAGCTCTTGGTTAACTGCCACAAGCAGGCTTGCAGCTGGTGTACTGTGCTCTTAAGCTACTACATATTTACTCAACAGCCAAAAATCACATTGTAGTCACCTGCTCAGTTACTGCAGCTGGCTAAGGCCTGTACTCCAGATGCTGACTCCTGGGAGAGGCGGGAATACATACGTGAGTAAGTGCAGTCCACACCCTTGGTGCTTCTGGAAGCTTGGGAAAGATGAGGATACCCAGGAAGTGTTCATCTACCTGTAAGAGCAGGAACAGTTTCATAGCAGTGGCACTGCATGAACTACATCTTGAAGGAGTCCCAAGAGGGAGGCTGAGTGTCTTGGAAGAGTGGACCTCATCTCACAGCATGGAAGCACTACTTTGAGGCCAGGGTCTTCAGGGCAGTGGCTGGCAGGTGGACAGGGGCCCAGTGACAATGGGCTCTGTATGCCAGGCACAGGAATGCTTATTCTGAAGGCAAGAAGAAGAGGTGGAATGGTCAAAGGTGTTTCAGAAACCTCTATGGCAGTAAAGTGGAGAGGATGTGGGTGGGGAGGCCATCCCCACGGGTTTTAGTCTCGCCTGGATATCTCGCCAGCTCTTCCACATCCCACTGCCCTTCCTACAATGACCATGGTTTCTGTCACATACCACTGTGACTGGTGTGGCAGAGCACACGGTCATGTGAGTGGGATCCACGAAGTCACTGGGCTCCACCTGTGTCTTCTGGTCTATCTGGGGCTCCTTGCCACAGCACTCCCCAGGGATACAGGTTTTCTCTTTTCAGACTAACTTGAGGCGGAAACCTCTCAGGAATAGGAAAGGAGACTACTGAGCCACAGGGCCGCACCAGCTGCAGCTCCTCCACCTCACCATGGTTAGGAGAGGGCAGAAGGACACAGGTGAACGGGGTCACTGAGGTTGGAAGACATATTTTTAGAAAGGGATATCTGGTAATATCAATGACTGGTTTGACACAAAGTAATCTTTCAACATTAGGCATCAGGGATGACATAGGAGTGATGAGCTGCTAGGAACATCATGAAGTTGGACACTGAGGTGATGAAAAACCAACACTGAAAAATACAACAAATACAGACAGAGGAGGCCTTGTAGGCCACAAGAGCATCACCTGGGCATCACCTAGATTATCAGAGAAGGGGAAACACCCATATATGAACTGTGGACCAGAGGCCCAAGGAAGAGACTAAATGGAAGTGCTAAGTCACTACGGCTACTATGTAAGTCTCTCCTGGTTACTGGTGCCCCCCTGACAAGTATTTACCCCAGTCGGCTGTGCATGGAGGCCCTGTTCACAGGCGTTCTCTTCCCCAGCATAGGGAACTCTTGGGGCAGGCACTGTCATTTCCAGTTGGCCCTGGCATTAGCTTTTTTTTTAAAAAAAGCAGTGAATTTACTGGAAGAACTCTGGCTCAGTGAATTTGCCAATGAGAATCAACAAGGCCTAAGCTGAATTTTTTGAAGAGATCATTCAGTTCTTTATCTACCTGTGTGAACAAATAGATATTTTAACAATGCAGGATCCCCAAATGCTCCCATCAGTGGGTTTCTTGAAGAAGTTTATTTTTTCAAACCACAACTCTTTCAATAAATAAATTTCTGTAACCCATGGAAACCTGGGGTAAGAGAGGTGGCGTAGACAGGTGACATAGACGCCTCTGAACCAGCCCCTCTCAGCTGTTCAATATTTTTTATTTTAGGCAGGGCTATAGGAGGGAGGAAAGAGGGGAGTGACAGTTTTCTCATTTTTCAAATTATTCTTTGGCAAAGAACGAGTTAAACGTTTTACTAAGACTATGTATCAACACTTTACTAGACTTATTTTATGAATAGTGAATGTGTAGCAAACTTGAATTTCCAAAGTGAAACATATGGATGAAAGTGAAAGCTGGGTGGGGTGGCTCACATCTGTAATCCCAGCACTTTGGGAGGCCAAGGCGGGTGGACTGCTTGAGCTCTGGAGTTTGGGACCAGCCTGGCTAACATGGTAAAAACCCATCTCTACCAAAAATACAAAAAATTAGCTGGGAATGGTGGCAAAAGCCTGTGGTCCCAGCTACTTGGGAGGTTGAGGTGGGAGGATTGCTTGAGCCCAGGAGGTGGAGGTTGCAGTAAGCTGAGATTACACCACTATACTCTAGCTCCAGCCCGGGTGACAGAGTGAGGTCCCATCTCAAAAAAAGAAAAAAAGAAAGTGAAAACAATCCTGAATTGATGGTTTACATCTTCTTGTTGGAATTCTTACATGAAAAAAACACAATCTACTTGATTTGATTATTGGCAAAAAGGGTGATGTTAACAGGAATATGAGACTTATTTTGAAAATCTCTGAGGGAATAAGAAGGTTCTACTTAACAAAGGTAAATCAGAATGCACCAGTAGTGCCGTGGGTTTTACGGAAGAAACTGGAACTGATTTTCCACAGCAGTTCTTTAAGTAAGTGGGGGTGGGGAGTGGCAGCAGAGCAACCCCAGGAACAGCAAGTGGGGTTTGTTCACTGCAGACTGTGACAGATTTTTGTGATCACCACCGCCTGGGAGTATGCCCTCTGGGATTTTTTTTTTTTTGGGGGGGGTCTAGAATCCAGCAGAAGGGCTATTCAATCTTTCTGCTGCCACAAGAAAAAAAACATGCTGGGCCTATCACCAGATGGCCTCTGAATGGGCTAGGACTCTGCTGAGACTGGCCTAGCTATGAACACTGTTGTGTTCTACACCCCACAAGGTCTTTCCAGACAAGTGTGCAAGTAACTAGAGACAGAGGAAGATACGCACAGGTGCTTTGAATCATGTGAACAGCCAAATACTAAGGTACATGATCCTTTAAAAGAACAGACATTCACAATGTTTTAGCTCCTGAGCAGCCTCTCAGGCCTCCCGTGCTTGGAGATGAGGGCAGGTGAAGACAACCCTAACCCAAGACACCGGCTCCCTGTGGTCTGTGCTCTGCAAATAAAGCTGGTGGAAACACCACAGACGACGAGTCGTGGGAGAAAAGGGGAGGGGCACAGCTGAGATCCATTTTCAATATCTGAGTAATACTCTTGCCTTGGCTCCTTAGTAGAAAGACTGCAAAGGGCTGGTCACCTGCTGGTGGTTATTTAGGGGAAGATCAGAGGTAAGATGTGAGCCTTCTTCCGAGAGGCTTACCCTGGAAGTGTTTCCTTCTAGGAGTGCTTGAAAAATATATAGCTTACGCATCAAATTCTAAGCAATAGTCATAAGGACCCTCTGGAGTCCAGCCAAGAACCAGGATTCAGGAAGCAAAGGTTCTGGATGTCCAACTGGATGTCAGCGCTTCCCAAGAGCTTCAGTTCCCCAAGGGCCTGCCCACTCCCACCTATTTCCAGGACTGGTCTTTTGGTCAAGTCTAGGGATTCCCATTCCCTGACAGATCAGAAATCACCAACTAGTACCCGGTTGGTTGGGGGCATATGCGTTGGAGCCAGAAATGTGACTTTGGCCTGTGAAAGAGGGAGGGGAATGCCAAGAAGTCAAAAAGTCTGGAAGGAAACCAGGTCCCACAGTCACCCAACAGATCCCAAGGGCCCCACCGGCCAAGCACCCAGGACAACACCAGCTACTTACTGTGATGGACCGCATCTGAGTGTGCTCCTAAGATGGGGTGTGTGTGCAAAATATTTCTAGGGGATTTCCACTAGACAGAATGGGATGATTCAGTTATCTGGACATTTTGAAAGAATTGCTTAATCCCTGATAACGAGCAAAGTGATTTTCTACTGTGCAGATACTCTGATGTTAGAATAACTGATATTACCACTTTCAGTGTGGTCCAGAGGGCACATTGTCTTTCACGTACACTGCATAAATGTTTCCACTGGACAGCAGGCACTGGCATTTCTCCCACAGAAGTGCTCTTCTGAAAAGTCCTGCATCAACACTTGCACCACCAGCCGGGGAACTCCAGGGAGCCTGAGCAACTACTATGGGATGTGCCCTGCCTTGGGCCTGGGAATGGCACCAGGCAGAGAACCTTATTTCCTGGGTCACAGGAGGCAGGAATTAGCTGCTGGCCTCCTGCCCTGACTAGAGAGGATGCCTAGTGCTCAGCCGGCAAGTTCCTCTGACACTAGGCAGAGGACAAGTGTGAAGCTGCAGTACCTCCCTCTCCTAGGCCCTGAGAGGCAAGGATTAATGTGTCTCCTGGAAAAGCCCTGAGTTCCTGAGATGCCATCATTCTCTTTATCTAATCTCACCCTTCCTGGTCTGTGTGGCCCGTTAGCCAGGGGCCACCCTCAAGTCTAATGGGCGCAAAGACAAAGCAAGGCCTACATTCCTCACCTGCTGGGTCTCCGTGACAGAATCTCTGTGACTCAGAGATTCTATAAATTAAGAAAAACAAACTAAACCCAGTAGATGGCAGGCAGGTGAATCTAGAGGTCTAAGGAAGCTGGCAGTTAAATCTGAGCGTTAGGCAGGCAGCAAATGAAACTAGACAGACATTTATTTTGCGTTTGATTTCACTGGTTCAAATGTCTACATGCTGGAGTAAATCCACTTGCCTCTCTTCAGGGCTCTTCCTCTGCAGTACATTAACCTGGCCGAGGATGGCATATGCCACTGTTGACTCTTGGTCCTCCAAGGCCTAGGAGACTCACCCCACAGGCAGGGCCTGGAGCCATAGCAAACTCAGAAGAAGGCCATAGGTACAGTCTCAGTGACATCAGACATTAGGCTGATTCCTGAGGCATCGCTCCTGTCTCCCAGGACAGCAGGGTCTGATGCTCTGGTAAGTAGCTACCAGGTCACAATCACATGACCACTGCAGAAACATCAACCCCGGCTGGTCCAGGTTCCAGCCAGTTTCCTCTGGGCAGCATGTTACAATGGGCTCCCTGCCTTTTTGTTTTGGTCATCCAAATCTAGCTTCAAAGGGCTCCAAAACGTCCTCGCCACATCTGGACCTGAAAGCAAGAGCTGATTTTTAAGAGTGAGATTCTCATTGCATTTGGACAAAATGAATAATGTGCCTTTCATATTTTCTTTGTATTTCTCTTCAATAGTTGCTTGACCCAACATCTTTCTGTCTGCTCTATACAATGAAAATACAAACTAAATGAGAATAGAAAAAATAATTAAAGCATTAAATTGTACAAATTACAAATCTGTTCCAAAATATACTTACATTAAATAAAATACGCATTTCAATAAGAGATCTACAGTGAATGACTATGCATTCTGGGAAGCTTCACAACATCTAGGCAGGGCCAACATTTGTGAAAAAGCTAAGAGATTTTGCATCCAATCACAGTTTGTAGCGGGTATCTTATTGCCAATCTGCAAGTTACACTGAACACATCATTAGCATCGCTTGTGCAGAAAACCAATTTTGTTTGGGAAAAGGGAAAGCAAGCTCTGGCCTCAATTTTGAGTTCATTACAACTTCTTAAAAATTTCACCAACAGCCTATACAGTACAAGTTCAAAAAAGTAAACATGTTAAGGTAAGCAGACAACTCTTCAGAAGCCCAAACACATTTTCTTGCTGTATTTATGTTGAATTCTCCATCTACAATGAGCAGTCATGAAGATGGTCTTCTTCAGGGCAACATGGTCACAGGACTGGGGCAATCCAGGGGACTGAGAGGGAGCATGAGGACGGGAGAGGGGGCTACCTCTTGCTGTTTCACGTTAGAGACAAACTGTAACACAGTCCATGGGCCTGCAATCGTCCCCTTTTATCATCTGGCATAACGCTTGATGTAGTCGTCCACTTTATTCCGGAAGTCCTCCTGTGTGGTAAGAGCATTGGGGACAGAAAGAAGAACAGGAGGAGTGAGTGAGTGAGGAAAGCAGCGCTTCAGGGACAAGTCAGATCCACCAGCACCAAGGCCCCTGTGGTCGCCAAGGTGGTAGAAGGACTGGGACCTTGCGGAGTCTGAGTGCCATTTGCCACGACCTAGGTGCCTACTGCATGCAAGACACAGTGCTGGGTGTGCTGAGCAGGGGAGCATGCGGAAGCCCTGAGTGGGAGGGACCCTCAGGGGGCACCTATCCCTCCTCATTTCCAGACGGGGAAAGTGGAGCCCAGAAAAGTGTGGTCAAGGTCACAAAGCCAAGACTTCTTTGGCCACAATGGGTCTCAGCCACAGCTACTGCTCTCAGGAAGACCCTTGTTTCTGTATTTGTCTTGCTAGAATGATTTCCCTGGATGCTGCTACCTATTTAAAATGTGCCTGCTCTTCACAGCCCATGTACAGCCCCCCATCTCTTCTGGGCAGGATGACTACACCCTGCCCAGAAGAGAGCTGGGTGTGCCACAGAGCTCCATCCTCATGCATTGAAGTGCAGGTGGCCAGTGACCAAAGGCGGTGTGGACCTAGGAATCACCCCAGGCCAGTATGGGTGGAACAATCTCAGATCTGGGCCACTGTCAAGTTTATCCCTGGATCTGGTATCCCCAAGGTTACGAGTAAAATCCCATGGGATTGTATGAGCCATAAGAGTGACTTGGAGCTCTTAACCCTCTCACTCCTACAACACAGCTGCTGGGTCTCGGATGTCCCCGCAGGATCACACTGCTTCAGTCACATCAATGCCATGCAGCCCCCACTGCACAGGGAACACAGCACAGTTACCACAGTTCTTAGTGGGCATGAGTTCCATTTCCTTAGCTAAGCCTCAGTCCTCCTGTCTAAGCCTCAGTCTAGCCTCTTTGCTGATTCCACTGCATAATCCCGACACCTGGCAACGTGCAGGGCGCACCCAGGTACTCGGTGTATACCTCACTGCTGCCACGATGCCCTCTCGCAGGGGAGACCCTGCCTGGAGCATGGTCCTGGCCAGCTGGGCACCAGGTGCCTGCCCTCCTGCCACACCCTTAATTAGCACAGCGACCCTTTCCAGGGCCGGCAAGTTCCCAATTTGAAGCTTTGGATATGGTCCCATATTTTCTCTGGTCTCAGGGTGAGAAAGTGGAGTGCTCTGAGTCTACCCAGGTGCCTCTGCCCTGCCAACTTCCCTATTTGTCTACAGGATGGCGTTTGGAGCCTCCCACATGGGCCTTCACCCCGCAACAAAGGGGAGCTGTGCAGAAACCCTACCTGCCCTTTTACAAAACCTTCTCAAGGCCATTTCCACAGTCCCCAGAGCCAGACAATACTGTCAGCTCACAAGGACCCTGCAAAAGCTTACAGGATGTAAAATGAAGATCCCATAAATGCCCCGCCTCTCCATGTTTCGGAGGACAAAAGACACCATGTACTCTTAGTTGCCCTGTTCACCTCACCCAGCATAGAGCCCAGCATCCATGCCTGCAGCAGGCCCCATGCTCCAGCCTCTGCTGCCTCCCTCCTCCTCTTCTACTGCAAGGGACACAAAGCACAGGGCCCAAGTGAAAACCACAGACTCTGGAGCCACACAGAGGAGGATCCAAGTCCTGGGCTCTGCCTCCGACAGGCTACTCAACCATGGCGAATCTCAGCTTCTTGGCAGCTGTGTCCTCAGCAGCAAAACAGGGATCATAATGGTATCCGGCCCAAGGGGCTGTTGTGAGAAACAAGTGCACTCTGTGTCAAGTGCATGGAAGCGCGCCCGGCTCCTACTATTCCATTCCTCTGACCTGCGCCAGTCATAATGGCCTCTTTTCTCTGCCCTGACCTCTGCAGCACGTTCCTGCCTCAGGGGCTTTGCACTAGCAGCCAAGGTTTTCTGGAGCGCTCCTCTCTCACCAACCGGCCCTCTGTGGCCCGCTCTCCACCTCACATGCTATGGTTGTTCACCTATTTTTTTTCATTTTAATTTTCATCATTTTTTTTTTTTTGAGATGGAGTTTCACCCTTTTTGCCCAGGCAGGAATGCAATGGTGCAATCTCAGTTCACTGCAACCTCTGCCTCCTGGGTTCAAGCGATTCTCCTGACTCAGTCTCCCAAGTAGCTGGAATTACAGGTGCCTGCCACCACGCCTGGCTAATTTTTGTATTTTTACTAGAGACGGGGTTTCACCACGTTGGCCAGGCTGGTCTTGAACTCCTGACCTCAGGTGATCTGCCCACCTTGGCTTCCCAAAGTGCTGAGATTACAGGCGTGAGCCACTGCATCTGGCCGTGTTTGTTTGCCTATGCTCCGCGTCCTCCTGCTGGAATGTGCGCGCCACAGGGACAGGGACTGTCATTCCCAGTCATCCCGAGCACTTCGCACCTCCCCTGGCATATAAGTGGCCACCAGCCAAACAGGTGATGAACGAGTGGACATTAAGGAAGCGGCGCTCAACAACTGTGACTATTACTCCGCATGAAGACGTGGGTGGGGCTGCGGCACTGCTTAGGCTTCATGTGGAGGCATCACTGCAGATATTAGGTCCATTTTACTGGGGCTAAAAGTGTATCAGTTGCAAAGTCTTATTTCATACAAATCAGGAATATGAAATCTTATTTCATACAAAGAAAGGTAAAATGGAAGACATCTCTCCACCTGGAGCTGTGGGAGTGCCCCTATTGCCATCACTTTCTATCTGACAAGGCTTGGTCCACAAGGGCTAGTCATCGCCAGCAACAGCAGACAGGAGTGCAGCCACGAATGCCTGCAAGGGGTGGGCCAAGGGGCACATTTGCCCAGGGCTTGTCAGTGCAGTACCAAGCCTAAGGCTTTGCTAGACAACACAAGCCCATCAGAACCACTGACGGACGGCAGGAGTCAGGGACTGACTGCTCTCATGGGGAGCTGTGGGCACAGGGCTGCCTTACACCACTGTTATTTCTCTTGAGGATCCCTGCTGCCCCAGCCCTCAAGACAGAGCTCGCCTCCTCGGCAGAACACCAGCCTCAGTAGATGGTCTGCTCTGCCCGCCTGCTTGCACTGCACCACTCCCTGTGCCCACTGTGCCTGCCAATTGTTTTGTGAGTCTCAGCAGGATGCATGCTGGGTGGCACTTCTCTCGCCTCCCTGTCGGAGGTGCTCCTGCCCACTCTTTGGGGCCGTGGTCAGGCAGCACCTCCTGGTCTGAACTTAGGCTCAAGACTGTAGCAAGGACTTGGCAGGGCACATTTCAAATGCCCTATTCGGTCGTGCCACATAGTAGGTCTAACTAACATTAACGGAAGCCAAGGCGCTGAACATTCTGCACGATGTCTAGAACTAGCTAGAGGGGTTTTAGAATGGTGTTCAAAGCTACATCAGGTCGGGTGCAGTAATCCCAGCATTTTGGGAGGCTGAGGCGGGTGGGTCGCTTGAGGCCAGGAGTTTGAGACCAGCATGGGCAACATGGTAAAACCCTGTCTATACTACTAAGAATACAAAAATTAGCCCAGTGTGGTGGCGCACGCCCATAGTCCCAGATACTCGGGAGGCTGAGGCACAAGAATTGCTTGAACCTGGGAGATGGAGGTTGCATCTGGAGATAGAGGTGAGCCAAGATTGCACCACTGCACACTCCAGCCTGGGCAACAGACTCTGTTTCAAAAAAAAAAAAAAAGCAACTTCAGCCAAACGAACAACAGTGGCTGACTGACTGCCACAATGGCAAGGCTGCCACAATGGCAAGGCTGCCATAGGGAATCTGGTTCAGGTAATGGAATGTGAGGTTCTACCACCAAATCCAGCCAGAACCCTTCACCTAAGCTGAGCTACCTTGGTGCCAGCCACACATGACCTGCCTCTGCAGGCTCCTGCTCCATGTGCTTTGCACTGGGCCAATGTTAAAAGTCATTTCAGACCCCCTTTCCTGACAGCACTTCCCCTCCTCAAGGCTTGTATGCTTTCTTTTATCAGACAGTTAAAACCACTGCTGCCTTGCTACTCAAGCACAGTGGAAAGGTGACATTCACCGACTATAACTCTTTCAGCTTGGTTTTGTTGTATTTTTTTCTTCCCAGTGAGTTTTAATATATTGTTTCTAGGTAAACTGTCTTCCTTAACAGGTGTCTTACTGGAAGACCTCAATGTGGCTCCTGAAATGAATGACCAATCATTTATGCACTGCATTAGAGGAGAAAACCTTTTAGAAGAGGAATTGAAGATTAAAAGTAATGAATAGGGGGAGCTCTCTGAACCTTTACAATCTCAGGGTACTGCCCTCAAAATTAAATAAATAAATAAAAATTAAAAACAGTAATGAATAGGATCTCATTATTTTTGGGTAAAAATCAATGTCAAGTTTGTATGAATGTGTATGAGCTCAGCAAAAGGTGTGGAAGGATAAGGTGGGCCACTGGAGGTCAGGAGGGTGCTGGTGGGTGTGACACCGTCCATTCTCCTTCTCTGTTCCTACCATTTATTTATTTATTTATTTAAAGATGGGGTCTCACTCTGTCACCCCGGCTGGAATGCAGTGGCACAATCTTGACTCACTCAACTTCCTGGGCACAAGCAATACTCCCACCTTAGCCTCCTGAGTAGCTGGGACCACAGGCATGTGCCACTATGTCTGGCTAATTTTTGTAAAGACAGAGTTTTGCCACGTTGCCCAGGCTGGTCTCAAACTCCTGAGCTCAAGCAATCTGCCCACCTTGGCCTCCCAAAGGTTGGGATTACAGGTGTAATCACGATGCCACCATGCTAGTGCTATATCTGTTTTAAATTACTCATACTAAATTCTACTAGGAAATCACATCAAATAAAAAGCATTTCTCAGCTGGGTACCGGGGCTCATGCCTGTAATCTCAGCACTTTGGAAGGACAAGGCAGGAGGATTGCTTGAGGCCAACAGTTCAAGACCAGCCTGGGCAACAAAGCAAGACTCTGTCTCTACAAAAAATAAAAGTAAAAAAATTAGCTGAGTGTGGTGTCATGCACCTGTAGTCCCAGCTACTCGGAAGGCTGAAGTGGGAGGATCACTTGAGCCCAGGAGGTAGAGGCTGCAGTGAGCCACTAATACAACACTGCACTCCAGCCTGGGTTACAGAGTGAAATCTTGTCTCAAAAAACAAAACAAAACAAAAAACAAAAAAAACAAACACACACCAATTCTCTCTAACCTTGGGTAAAGCATTTTCCTGAGGTTACATACATTTACTATACCATATTGTTTACAAACTGCTTTGAATTCCAGCTTTGCATCCCACCACTCTCAATTTCTCATTTATCCAATCAAGAAACAGTAGTAATCATCTCTGTGACAAGTACATCAACCTAGAATAAGCCTGTTCCTGGCTCACCTTGTCACGCAAATGATGTTCTGCAGCTTCAATATTCAGTGGATCATCAAAATTCAAAAGATCCTTAAAAAGAGAGAAACTTAAAGTAAACACTGGAAGAATTGCTTTTCTGCTGTTAAAGTCTTCTTTTCATGGCACAGTAAGAGAAGTCTAATTAGCAAATGGCAGACCAAACTGAAGAGCTGAGAATCCCACTAAGAACTCAAGTGCTTGTGATATGGAAGTATCGAACATGTGGGCATTTTTTTCAAAATGGTGACTGACAACTGACTGAAAGAAGTCAGAGATATGTTGACATGCAGTTCTACAAAGTTTGGTGAAGACGGAGTAAACTGCAATCACATTCATTTCTGATGCTATTTGTGATAACTGGAGAATGAAAACCACTCTCATTAAGCATTTCCAAATAAAAATCCCCTTCTTTTCCATAAAAATTATATTTTTCTTTTGTTTTGTGATTAACAGCTTTGACTTTTTGAGCCCATGGGTTCTCCTGGGGCCTTCCCTGGACTTTCCTTTCTCTGCTTCACCAAGCCTCCCATGCACAGTCAGTAGGGACGTCTGGAACCCGAGCAAATTGCATGGCAGTGTCACTAGGCTCATGTCCCCAGACTCAGGAGAGGGTGCCAGACCCATTCTCCCCTAGAAAAACACTGCAACGGCTATGCCCCTCAGCCCCAAGAAGCACTCTGGACTTTGGACCAAAGCCGCATCTTATCTTCACACTGCTCACCCCTCTTGTTGAGAATCAGAGGGGCTTGCTTGGCCGGGCATGGTGGCTCATGTCTATAATCCCAGCACTTTGGGAGGCTGAGGCGGGTGGATCAACGAGGTCAGGAGTTTGAGACCAGTTTGGCCAGCATGGTGGAACCCTGTCTCCACTAAAAATATGAAAATTAGCCAGGCATGGTGGCGCATGCCTATAATCCCAGCTACCCGGGAGGCTGAGGCAGGAGAATCGCTTGAACCCAGAGGAGGATGTTGCAGTGAGCCGAGATGGCACCACTGCACTCCAGCCTGGGCGACAGAGCAAGACTCGGTCTCAAAAACAACAAAAAAAGAAAAAATCAGGGGGCCTCAATTTGTCCTTATGATGAATCATGGCTTTCTAACGCAGGCTATAGGATGGATCATCGTCAAGACAACCGTATTTCTCTTCAGGAAGGACGTTAAATTTGGGGACAATGTTCCTGGAGATTAATATGGCTGTGACCATTAAAATATTATAAAATAGCAAAAAAACCCTGTAAATCTCTATAGTCATTCACAGTTGGAAAATTAGATTCCAAGTCCCAGAGAAAGGCAAAAATGTAAAGTACATTATTAGATAGACTGTATCAGACACACAAAATTTCTTATCTTCTTTACTGTATATTAGACCTAAGATAAATGAGTTGATCAGAATAACCATTAAAGACTTAATTAGCAATTTTGATTGGCTTTTTTAGAATTTACTGAGAGCACTTAGAGATGGGAAGTTAGTGTGGCTATAGCAGATTTCTCTTCAATTTTTTTTTTTTTGATTTGAGATGGAATTTCGCTCTTGTTGCCCAGGCTGGAGTGCAATGGTGTGATCTCGGCTCACTGCAACCTCCGCCTCCTGGATTCAAGCGACCTGCCTCAGCCTCCCAAGTAGCTGAGATTACAGGCGCCCGCCACCATGCCTGGCTAATTTTTTGTACTTTTTTTTTTTTTTTAGTAGCTGTGAGATTTCACCATATTGTCCAGGCTGGTCTCCAATTTCTGACCTCAGGTGATCTGCCGGCCTCGGTGCCTCCCAAAGTGCTGGAATCACAGGCATAAGTCACCGCACCCAGCCAAAAAAATTTTTTTTAAGTCCAAGGAGTCAGTGTTTCTTTCCTCCCATTAATTCCCCTGCAGCAAGTCGCCAGTCAAAACCTACTCAGAGCCAAGGAACCTGGGACAGACACGGTGGGCTCCAGAAAAAAATCATCATGGTGGCTGATGATAATGATGGCACGTGGGCCTCTAGAAGCGCCTGAGTTCACACCTGTTCTCTTTGGCTCTCTCAATCAAATCTAGAGATGCCAAGGCTCAATATTACAATGGAGCACAACGGCCAGACAGATTTCAAATTAGGCTCCAGAAATAAAACTTCATTCACTTCAATGAAAAAGCCAAAGACAGAAGCAGAACAAAGTAGCTGAGAGCAGCAGAAACTGTGAAGTCCAGGTCTCCATCAGGTATGACCTCCCACGGAGATTCAGGGAGATCCTGAAATCACTGGAAGTGCTTGGTTTCTCTGCTTGTGTGATAGACATTCACCAGCTAACATCAGACAGAAAGACAAAAGGTAGGCAGGGACTCAGTTTAGTTTGAGGCTCTGCTTTTGCTGAAGATAAGAACACTGTGCCCTCAGATGATGGGACAAGGAAGAGCAGACCTGCCCCTAGTTTAACTGAGTCCTGCAGGTGCCTCTGCTGTAGGCAACAGCCAGTGACCCACATGACACCGGCTAGGAGGATGCTCCTAAAACAGCCCCCCGGCCTGGGTGGACTATCCAAGATCATAGAGGCACCTTAGGTTTTATCAAAATAGCAAAAACTTTTTTTTCACAAACAGATCTCTGAAGCTTATTTCTTTAAAAGCACCTTTATGAATTAAAAAGTAAAAATTCAAAGGAATGTATAATATTGTATTAAAAAAATCCAACCAACAGCTTTTAGCTGAGTCCATTTAGCCTCTTCCTGCACTAGGGCCATTGTCTGAGAAATGCTATTTCCTGAGAACAGCAAATGTCAGCAGCTCATCCCTGACAAAAAGACAACAGCTCTGAGGTTCTGGACTCGTGAAAAAGCCTTCAAGGCTGGGTAATCACAAAATCATCCACCCCAACCAGGACACCTGGGAGGTGACAGGGCCACTCCTTGGGCTGGCTAGTGTAGCCACAGGCACAGACATGGACTGGGCCAAGTGACCCCAGGGTAACAGCCACCCTGCTGGAAGGGGCTAAGGCAAGTGGAACCAACCTCATCCCCTAGAAACTGGGGTCAGCCACCTCAGCAGGGCAGAAGTGAGACTGCTGTGGCCCCTGCCCCAGATAACCTCCCCACGTGTCACTCCAAAGGCCCCTCATTCCCCACCTCACTGTTCTACTTCTGACTCATAAAACAGAAACAGAAAAAAGGGGGGTTATTTTTTCATTTTTTTTTTTTTAGAGACAGGTCTTCCTATGTTGCCCAGGCTGGTCTTGAACTCATGGGCTCAAGTGATCTGCCTGCCTCAGTCTCCCAATGTGCTAGGATTACAGGTGTGAGCCACCATGCCCAGCAAGCATGTTTTTTGGGGGTTTTTGTGTGTATCTGTCTGTTTTTGAGGCAGATCTCTGTCACCCAGGCTAGAGTACAGTGGTGCAATCTCAGCTCACTGCAACCTCTGCCTCCCAGGCTCAAGCAGTTCTCCCACCTCAGCCTTCCAAGTAGCTGGGACTACAGACGTGTGACGCTATGCCCAACTAATTTTTCTATTTTTTGTAGAGACCGGTTTTGTTACGTTGCCCAGGCTGGTCTCGAACTCCTGGGCTCAAGTGGGCATCCGCCCAAAGTGCTAGGATTACAGGCGTGAGCCACTGTGCCCAGTCCACATTTCATTTTTTAACATGGTTTTGTGTTAACGTTAATGTAATATCTAAAACCAGCAACAAGGAAATCGAGAAAAACTTGGGATTTTGATCACTGTACTTACAGTAAACAAAGAGTTTAATCCCCAAACGACATCCTGAAATAAAAAAGAAAACAGAAAACAAGTTTCAGGCCATTGTGCACCTGTATGCATGTGTAAACCCATGATCAAGAAATATGCATTGTACTGTATCAAAACCTGTCTTCAGCATGGCTTGTTTTTCTCAAGATAGAAAATTAAAATAACTGTCTTCAAGTGTAACAACAAACTCTGGAAAATTCAAAGAGGTGAGCAGTCTCAGGTAGTGAATATAAAATCAAAGACAGCATCAGCTGCCCTCCCAGTCAGACCTGACAAGCCTAATCCTGCACGACAGGGCCCGCAGGCCAGTGTCTGCATAGGGGCTCTACCTTGAATCACCTCTTAGCTGTTACCACCAAATATGGTTCTGACTTCTAAAAAGTCACCTTCAAAATAAAGTCTGTTGTTTTTACATCTACTGCCCCTTGTGGTCGTAGGTAAGTTAATTACACCTTATCCTATTAAGTTTTCTTAATGATTTTGCGTTATTTAAAGAATAATGGAAGATTCACAATTCAAGGATCAGAGATTTTCATTAAATAAAACTGAAAGCCAGAGTTGTTCTATCTGTACTGACTTGCCATCTGTGAATCACAAATTCATTCTCCATTTTCCTCTTCATCAACTCAAGAGTTTCGTCCTTTTTAGGCCTGTTCTCACGCTCCTCCCCTACTCTTTGCTAGTTGGTAATTTTATTTGCCCTTCTCTGTTTTCTCTAGTCCATCAATCCATCCACCCACCCATCCCTGACCTTCCGATGTGAGCCAGGCTTAGGGTTGGAGTGTGGGTGAAGGTGAGCCCTCAGCCTGAGGAAGGGGGATGGACAGGTGGGCAGGTCAGCAGGCCAGCACTGCTCACGAGACGTGTTCCCCAGAGCACCCACCCTGGGAGGAGAGGCTCCAGAGGCAATGACAGCCATCTGAGCCCCAGGGAAGCAGGAGTCTGCCAGGGAGAGGGCTGGAGGAGAGGGCCGCCTTCCAGGTAGAGACATGGCCTGCAGAGGGAAAGTTTTGAGAGGGAAGGACATTTCTAGAGCGTGGGGAGAGGCTAAGAAAAGGGTGTGGGTTGCCCATGGTGGCAGAGACTACAGCTTGGAGGAGCTTGGTCAGGACTGCATGCAGTCTGCAGTGTTCCCTGATGCAGGGCCAGGGCCAAAAGCCCCTTCCTGTGCTGTTCCCCTAGGGTCCCTGCTTGGTGTTAGGTACCCAACACCTGACAGTCTTCTCTGGCCATAGGGAGTGGTCTGCACATCAATTTGCTGCTCTTCTCCAACACCTAGTGGCCAGAAGAGCTCAAGACATTCCTGTTGAATGAATGGTGGCCATGAGGTTTCCTATGTGGCGAGTGGTTTGGCGGTGAAGCCTGCAATTTGGGCTCCTATCTCTGGTTCTAGAATGGTGACTGGCAAAGCCAACAAGGATGCTCATCCAGCCCAAACTGACTGAGGTCAGTGACTGGCTAAGTAGCCCAGGCAGCAGGGAGAAGAGGAGGCAGGCTGTGTCTGGCCATTGGTGTGGATGTGATAGGCAAGGACATGTGCTGCTTTCTCAGGAGGCTGGCTACTGCAGGGAGAGGACCACAGGGACAACTTATGATCAAGGCACAGACTCTACCTTTAATGTTCTTGTGGGAGCCCAGCCAGTGCCATCAATCGAATGTTCTCTCAGTAAACTGAAAAAGACAGACATACAGTGGTTAGTGAGGAGCAGCCACAGGTGCCTACACACTGCCGACTGGTCCTCTCGGTGCGTATTTTGTCTTTAGGCCATGCAGGAGAACTACTTTTCATTAAACCCACCTTTTCCTCTGTGGCTTCTCAGTTTCCTCTTGCTGAGGAAGGTATTTCTACCTCCAAGGTTATATACATTTTCAAGTATAACGTCTTGTGTTATGTTTGTCTATTTGTTGTAATACTTGACATGGAAGTTTTAGGCAGAGGAAAAGCATGTTTAAAACAACACACAAAGAACATCTGTCAATTTAATGTTCAGAAAATGACAATGGTGGCTGGGTATGGTGGCTCATGCCTGTAATCCCAGCATTCTGGGAGGCCGAGGTAAGGTGGGAGGATCGCTTGGGTCCAGGAGTTTGAAACCAGCCTGGGCAACACAGTGATACCCTGTCTCTACTAAAAATTAAAAATTAGCCAGGCATAGTAGTGCACGCCTGTAGTCCCAAAGGTAGGAGGACTGTTTGAGTCCAGGAGTTTGAGGCTGCAGTGAGCTGTGACGGCGGCCCTGTACTCCAGCCTGGGAATAGTGTGAGGCCCTGTCTCCAAAAGACAAAAAAAAAGAAAATGACAATGGCAACAAAAGAAAAAAAAAAAAAGAAAAGAAAATGACAATGGCAACAAAATGACAACATGACAACAAGAGTAACTGAAGCTTAAAGCTTATTATGTGTATGTCAGGCACAATCCTAGGTGCTGTGCCATTAAATTCACTTAATGCCTTTAACCACCCGTGAAGGAAGGACCACTGTTTCCCTGTCTTATACAGGAGGAAACCAAGGCACAGAGAAGACAGGCCCAAGGGCACATGCCTCATGAACAGTGTTGTTCTTCCAACCCAGGCAGCTCATGGGCACCGACATTCTGAAACACTGTTGATGCAGGTTAACAACAATGGGAGCTCTCAGCGTATGACATTTTAATAACTGGGTTTTTTTTTTTTAAGTTCAAAAGAAAATGCTTGAGGATAAAAGATTAATGCACAATTCTGAATATCAATCACTTCTTAGGTGAGGGGCCCATGCTCAGGGAAGGCACACCAGGATTCAGAGGTCCGGTGAGGCCCCATTTCTGAAGCTGGTACCTGAGAGTCCTGGTCCTGACTGTCTATCAGCTGTAAGGCACACCATATACTCTCATGGAAATGATCGTTCCAGTGCTGACTTCGCAGCACATATGCTCAAATTGGGATGACACAGAGAAGATCAGCATTTTCACAATAATCTCAAAAAGTAAAAAAAAAATTAAATAATTTTAAAGAGATTAAATGATCATTCCATACTTCAAAAAAGTATAATTTATTGCCAAACCTCCTTCTGGAGATAAAATTACTTTTGCATTTGTTGAATTATTGTGCTGTGGCTTTGATCTGCACATAAAGTATCAGGCTGTATAGGCCATAATTGTTACCTCTGATAAACTTTTTTGAATTAGAGCATGTTTAAATTCACGAAAGTCAATTTAGATCAGAAGAAAAATATGGAGAGTTTGAGTCAAAGCTATAATCTTAATTGTCTATGAAGAGCAGTTAAAAAAACAGATAACTAACCTTAAATTGACCATTAAAATTTACTTTTGCCTTAAAAAGAAAAAAGGAAAACTCAAATCACATACTCTACCAACTGGGTGGATGTCTTTCTACCCGATAGAGGTACTGGTGACTTGTGGATGTGAATCGTCAACTTCTGAATACCTTTTTTGGGAATCAAGTCAAATCCTAGTGGCTACATTTTGTTACTAGAGTGGAAGAATTATTTCTGATCTAGCTAATAATTTTCTTATATAGATCTTAATGCAACCTTCAGTTATATATTTGTCATTTATTTGTTGAATGCCCGTTTCATCCATAAAAGCAGGGAATTCTAATTCCTCTGCCAGTGCCTAAGCTCAATCAACATTAGCTGAATGAAGGAGAAGGAAGCTCACCCTGAGCTTTGCTGTCAACAGCACAGCCAGAGCAGGAGGGCTTTGCATGTGGCAGAGTAGGGAATGGGGAGGCAAGGCCGGCCCCAGCATGTGGTGGCCACTGGTCTGGGCAGCAGTGAGGCCCATCAGGGGTGCAGTGCCCCCAGTCACTGAGGAAGTTCTAGCCTGGCCTCACAGAGGACAGTCCCAGCAACAGCTCAGGAGACAGAGACACTCGGCTATCAGAGATGTCATTAAGCAAGGAGACAGAGGACACCCCAGGAACTGTAATAGAAGCTTAGGCTCTAGGAGAAGCTTCGACTGAGCTCTTGACCTAGGCCCTCCAATCCCACAGACATGGAGCCTCTGACCTTGTGTCAGAGCAGGGGAAGTGTCCCTGCTGGAACAACAAGGTGGAGCCAGGGCAAATCTCTCTAAAAGAGGACGGTGCTTCTGTGTGCCAGAAATGAAAGGCCCGTGGAGCACCAGGCATCCATCAGTCCTGCTGTGGGAAGGGCCTGATTAGCTGCTGTCCAGTGGTCACCACAAACCAGAAGTGTGGCTGGGCTTTTCTTTCCCTTTATTCAGGACACACCATAAAGCTGCCACTGGACACTGTCTGCTTTTCACTAACAAGGTGGTCCCTGTACATCAATCTGACACATTATTTCCTTAGATTAAATCCCTAGAAGTGCAGCTGACAAGTCCAAGGGTACATACGAGTTAAAGGTAGTCTACATGGCTGAAGGACCAATGAAAGGTGTGCAAATATACACACCCTCCAACGAGAGAGCCTGCTCGCTCTCTATCACACACTCCCTGCCCCACCACCAAGTATCTACCTTTGTGCCTGCCAATCTGATAAGTGGTAAGCCACACCTCATGGTTTTCTGCACCTTTCTCTGGTTACCGATGAGAGTGAACATCCCCTTAGATATTTACTGCCCACTTCTATTTCTCCTTTTATGAATCACCTGTTTGTAGCCAATGCCACATTTTTCCAGAGGAAGTATCCATCTTTTTTTAATGAATAGTAAGGACTATTTACATACCAAGGATTTTAATCCAGTTGATCATTTCTCCTTCCATTTTGTGTTTTTAATTTTTATGTGGTCAAATCTGACAATCTTTTTCCTTGAGACGTCTGGCTTTTATATCAGGATACCATCTGTTTATCCTTATCAGGCTTTGCTAATCATCTGATTTCCCAGAAGATGGCAAAAAGGACGAGAGAGGTTCCTATTCTGCACCCAATTCTGACTGAGGCAGGGGTAAGACAGGTAAGTAGAGTATGGCCCCCCAGAAAGTGAGCCAGGTGTCCTCACAATCACAGGAGGAAGCGGGGCAATGGGGGCCTGGGCCAAACACATTTATAACCTGCAACCAAAGACGGTGGAATTTTAACATTTCAATACGCAAAGGACAGATACTTCAAAGAGAAGATGCTTTTTTAGAAAGGCATGCCTGGTAAGATGTATTTTTAACTATCTGAAAAATGAGGCTGATACTGAAGAAAGGGAGCAGTATATACAAAAATGAAATGGACAAATGGGCACTAACTGTACTTGTGAAGAGAAAGGCGTCCTGAGGTAAGATTTCCAGCAGCCACAGTTTACACATTTCCTTTCAAAGGTGATTAGTATTTACTAAGGAGAGAGGAACGAAAGAAAAGAGATACGGAGGTTGAGCATGAGAACTGACTTAGGCCACTAATTGCATTTCATGTCAAAAGTAGGAGAAATGTGCTAAGAAAATACGTTGTGCCTACTTTCCAAACTGGCTAAGTATGAGGCACATACGGGTCAAATACCTAGCCTAAAGTCCCACAGCTGCCCCGGGTGGCGGGGCGGGGGCAGCAAGCTGGACTCAGGTCCAGGTGGTCTGATATCAAAGCCCCTGCAATCAATCTCGCTGCCTTAAAGTGATGAAAGGGACAAAGCGCAAAAAAAAAAAAAAAAATAAAGCCCAAACGTGAAACTTACTTTAAAAACCAACCAATCCACCCATACATCTTTTCCAGCAGCCTTAGGAGGAGAAATCACTGATCCCTGATGTTCTGCCCAGGCCAGGGACCGGGGACACAAGTCACAGCGGACACGAAACTTTAAAGTAAGTTTTTAAACTTACTTTAAAAACCAACCAATCCACCCATACATCTTTTCCAGCAGCCTTAGGAGGAGAAATCACTGATCCCTGATGTTCTGCCCAGGCCAGGGACCGGGGACACAAGTCACAGCGGACACTTAGGCTGCCTGCCCTAAGTGCCCTGACACCTATTAGGACCATTTTGGTAGAGAGAAGGCAGCTTAAATACAAGTGCCCAAGGTTGTCTTAAGCCCGCTATCTACATTTTTTCTCCTGGGTATCCATCATTAATCATATTTTCTCATCTTAGCTAAAATCAGCCACATGGAGGGAATGTGGTCTCTCATTTAAATAGGGGGGAACAAGGCAAGGGACCCCAAGGGTCCATCCTGGGCAAGCAAGGAGCCTGCACTAAGAACTTGGTAGGGCTGTGGCCCCCAGAGGGCCACGAGAGGACACTGGTCTGGAGGCAGAAGGTAGGGTAGGGTTTGGGAGCAGGCAGGCAACCGCAGCTACTTCAGCTGAGTTCAAGCTCATCCTAATCTTGGGCATGCCTCAAAATCCTCTCTCAGAGGAGACAACATGTTTAAAAGCCCAACGCTCACAGGTGACACTCACGAATGTAGAAGAAAGAAAAGACAAGAAACTTACCTCAGACATATTTCCCCTGTCTCTGTGATGTTGGGGTGCCAGATCTTGGTCAGGCATTTCACTTTGGGAGGCTGCAACACAGAGAGAATGAGAGATCACGCTGACAGTCTCTGCAAATCACATATCCAGGCCAGAGCCTTACCACATACCCTATCTAGACGCTTGTTTCATGGCTTACTCAGCGTGTAGTTTGACTCGCTGAGCATGTGTTCAACCTTGAATACTGGCTCACCTCACCCACGAGGCATGTGTTGATGGGCTGCGTCCACAAGGGCTAGTCTCAGCAGCAAAGTCTACCCCATGGGCTTCTGAGCACCTCTCTACAAGCCCCAAATGTCCTGCCAGCTGACAGAGCTGGTGACTAGACCTTTGTCACCTCCCACATCCCCTGGGTTTGGGACTGCAGGTATCCACAGTGCACTCTAGGGAATAGTTCTGCATCCTCTGGGCCCAAATCCAACCAGAAGCCCCAGATTCCTTTGCACTACAAGTTACTATGGCTTAAAGTTACTGCTCCTTGCAAGAACAGCCTGTTCCCTTTGCTGGATTTTTCTGAAGATGCTACTGTCACATACGTTTTCCTAGATGAAAGCCCTAGTCCACTTAATATTTAAAGGAGAGAAAGAGAATGAAAATGAACTTGTGGAGATAAAGTATATCAACATCATTTATGACTTGGCATGTTTGGATAAAGTTCTTTTAAGATTTTTCTAGGTCAGGCATTGTGGCTCACTTAGGGAGGCCACCTAAGAGAAGAAAATATAATTAACAATAGATGCCCAGGAGAAAAAAAATCTCAGCACTTTGGGAGGTCGAGGTGGGAGGATCGCTTGAGGCTAAGGGTTTGATATCAGCCAGGGCAATATAGCAAGACCCTGTCTCTCCAGGAAAAAAAAAAAAGAGCTGGGCATGGTAGTTCCTGCTTGTAGTCCCAGCTACTCAGGAGGCGAGGTGAGAGAATCACTTGAGCTCAGAAGTTGTACGCTGCAGTGAGCTATGATCGCACCATTGTACTCCAGCCTGGGTGACAGAGCGAGACCCTGCCTCCAAACCAGAAAACCAAACCAAACCAAACCAAACAGATTTCTCTGTTACAAAGGCAATCCATACTCAAGAGAAAAGGACAACAGAAATGAAATATGTAAATATATAATAAATTATGCTGTCTTTCACTTTTGCTTTTTATGTAAGAATATATACACTCCATCAAAATGCTACCCAGAAATTATGTGACACCTGAAGTACATGTGTTTTATGCCTCTTTTCTAGGCCACACACATAGTGTGCATGCAGCATACTCATTTTTCTTTATAGAAGAAAGCTGTGCTACATATGTTTTAGCTATTTCTGCCATTGTTTCAGATGGTGTCCTGCATTCTATGGTACACCTGCCCGAGTTTAACAAGCACTTCCCTACCTCTGGGCCCCCAGGTTGCTTCCTCTTCTCCCAACCCTGCTCTATCAATGCAGGGTTCATCCTGGATGAAATGTTTCCTCAGGATGAAGCCCAGCAAGAGGATCTGCTAGTCAGAAACCCTAGCTTCTGATACACTGCTCATGTTCTTCAGAAGACGTGACACCCACCACCCCCACAACCTGCAGTGAGGGAGAGGGCCTCTTCGCCAGGACTTCCCACAGCAAGGTACCCTTGGTTAACATGCAGAAGTGTCAAATCACAGGATCTCATCAGAAAGGTCATCTCAAAAAGGAATCAACCCTTTGTGAAATGGGTAACATTTTCCCCGTGTATCATTTGCTATTAATTTTTATTTATGATGTTTTCTGAGGAGGTTATTTTTGTAATCAAATTTTTATCTTTGATGCCATACTTAGAAAATACTTCACCATCCAAATATCCTCTTTAACTTTCTAGTAAACTTTTATAGTTTCATCTTTTTATTTATTTCTATAAACCAAAAATACTTTTTCAACACTCTAATGAGCATTGTTTCTAATTTCAAAATACCACAAAATCAGTAGATTCCAAAAAACTGATTAAACTGACTGTGCAAATCCACGTGTCTGAGGACAAAGAATTTAGGTTCAGAATGAGTTTAAATAAATTTCACATTGTGCTTTTCTATAAATAAATGGGAATGTATTTAATAGAAAGGAGCAACTGCATCTTTCCCTTCCACTGAGGCATTTGGGCTGCAGAGGGAAGGTCAGACTGCCATGAGGGGCAGGGCTGTGTGCCCCCGCCTGGGTCACGGGATGGTGGCAGTCTAGTGCTAGGCCGAGTCACCAACTCTGTTTTTGCAGGAACCTAGAAAATTGGCAAACTCACTCTCCCTCCCAAGCAGGTGCCCCTTCTGTGGAGGCCCTCACACATGACCACCCAGCCTGGTGCTACCACATCTCCCAAAGGCTTGGGGGTATTCGCCCTTCCTCCTGTCCCCTTTACACCTTCCATAGTTTGACGTTAACACAGGTACCTACTTTTGTCAATGGTCCTCTTAACTGTGGTTCCAGAACAGAGGGCAAAACTCTGCACCTGGCTTCTCGCACACATACTTTCCAAACTGAATTAGGCCCCTAGCCCCTTCCCCCCAACCCCAGTGGCCCACAGCTAGACAAACAATGCCCAGCCCTCCCACATTTCCCCTCAGTGCTTGGCACGGCCACCATCACTCACTCTGCCAGGAGTCTAATGTATGACAAATCTGGCCTTTCAAACCAATAGAGAACTGGGTTATTTGGTGGGCCACTGGCTACCCATTTGGAAAAACACAGTGTTCCAGATGCATTAAAATTAAACATAAAAGAGAATTATAGGAGGACTAGAAGAAAATGTAGATGACCATCTTGGGGTCTGAAGGCTGCTTTAAGCATTTCATAACACACAAAACTCAAGCAGTGAAACAAAAAAACAAAACTTGTATAGAACAACAACTAAAGACGGCAAATGCAAAACAAAGAATTTATAGCATAGCTAAAAAACCTAAGAAAAAAGTTTCACATACTTTGCATGTAAGGACTCTAGTAAACCTAGAAGAAAAACAAATATTCCCAATGGGAAACATGGGCAAAAGACATAATAGCAGCTCATAAAAAATATAAACAGCTAATTAGTGGGAAATACTATTCAGCATCCAACTTAAGAAATGAAAATGCAATTGCTTGAACCCGGGAGACGGAGGTTACAGTGAGCGGAGACTGTGCCACTGGACTCCAGCCTGGGGGACAGAGCAAGACTATATCTCAAAAAAAAAAAAAAAGACAACCGGATATTAAATGAGATACGATTTCCTCCCAAAATGGCAACAACAACAAAAAAAAGGCAAACATTCTACCTTGGTAAGTGTTTAGGGAAAGGGAATTTTCAAACACTGATGGTGAGGATGCCAACTGACATTCCTCTTTGGAAGGTAATTTAATAGGATTTATCCAGAACCTTAAAATGGAGCATCAATTACTCAATACCCACAATGCCATGTCTAGGAACTGATCCAGAGGAAAGAGGCAGACAGACATAAGATGCATGCCCCAGACTTACCTCACAGCCCTATTTATTCTGGGGCAGCAGACCACAGCCTACAGACCAAATCCAGGCTGGGACTGTTTTCACATGGTCAAAGACTGGTTTTCACATTTCTAAAAGGTTGTTGAAAAAACAAAAAAGAATATGGGACAGAGACCATATGTGGTCCACAGAGCCTAAAATATTTATTGCTTGGCTCTTTACAGAAAGTCTGCTTTATACTACAAAAGGTTGGTCAGCCAGTGACCAATGATAAAGGACTGGTTTAAATGACACATCATACAAGGAAGTACTCTTATTAATGATGATGCAGTCGTGCACTGACTGACATGAATGTGTACGTCCATCATATTATGATGGGAAAGCCCCGAGTTACCAGACTATGTGTAGCATCACCCCACTGGTATGTAGGATTTATACTGTCTGCAACAGACATTAAAGAGTCATGGTGATCATCTCTGGGTGGAGAGATTACGGGTGATTATTATTCTATTTTTGCATGGCCGTGTTGTCTCAATTCCCTACAAAGTCTGATAATTTCATACGAAGAAGGTGAGTGGGAGTTCAGGTGTCACTTGTGGTCGTCATCACTGCTATTCAACAAGTGTTTCTGGTTCTCCTCCTCCAGGGCCCACGGCAGGACAGTCCCTCCGGGCTGGCCATGGTCATGTTATCTGATTTGGCCAAAAACATGTGAGGAGACGTGGTGTCTTCACTTCCAGGAGGAAACCAGAGCCAAGAACAAAGAGCAGTAATCCTTTCTCCTGCTGCAGCACATAGCTTCCTCCAACCAGTCCTGACTGACACACCCGTGGGCTGTGTGACACCACAGGCCAGCCAGGGTCTGGGCTAAGGCTCTCTGCTCCTCCAAGGCATCCCCAGGCCACGTCATGTGCTCCTCCTGAGGAATAGCCGTCGCCCACATCACTATCCGGGCTCCTCATTATCATGTCAGCGTCTGTCTCCCCAGAGACTGAAATTCTTAAAAGGCCACCAAGTTCCCATCCTTGGCCCTCCAGTGTCTGACATGGAGCCTGGCACAATGTAGGAGCTCACTCAATGTCTCTACATCCGTTTGGCCAGTTTCTAAATTGACAAATTACAAGGCAAGCTTTAGGCTGGGAGTTAAACTTCAGAGGCAAAGGGACAAAAACACACAAAAAATTTGAATTTTAGCTGCTGGGATATTGGGTGGGGTGGGGGATTCCAAATAGACATTTTTCTTTTAAAAATTTATTCTGAAATGACGATCGACTTTATTAAAGGTTTTCCACATTCACAGTCTTAATAGACCTTCACTGCAGGAACTATAACTCTTAGGAAAAAAGTCCTTATGAAGTACAGAAATTGTGTCAAGTCAGTCGTGGCAGTGAAGCAGAGAAGCATCTGAGAAGTGCCAGCCCACCCCTAGGCTCCGCACTGGCCGCCGCTGTGTCCGCTCTCACTGACCCACGCGGCGCCTTCAGAGTGTGCCCTCACACTCTGTCCTGAATGCCCGTGCCTATGTGATCTTCCTATGCTGGCTGAATTATTTCATCTCTTTTCTACACTGTTAAGTTTGTGGGGGGCAGAGAGAGGGGCAACCACTGAACAATCTGTGTTTTTTGCCTAGCATGACAGGCTACACATTGGAAATAGTGTGGGCAAGACGGCTGGCACTCTCTCAGGGCTCACAGCCCAGTGGGAAAGAGATGCTCGGGAGAGTCTGTAAGCAATGATTCATTATAAACATGGCAAATGCAACTACTTTTGTGTTCAACCAAGTACCGCACCCTAATGATCTTCTGGAGGGTCCCTGATGGGGACACCAGTGATACACGCTGGCCCCTAAGGAAGTTGCCCCACGCTTGCCTGAATGAGAGGCAGACAGGAAGAAAACATGAGAAGGGGACAGGAGGCCGGGTGCAGTGGCTCACGCCTATAATCCCAGCACTATGGGAGGCCAAGGCTGGTGGATCACTTGAGGTCAGGAGTTCGA